CCCAGCCCCCGATTGGCCTCCAACACCCCGATAGGGGGCGGGGACAGCTGCCAACCACCTGCGGCCCCTCCCCCTGGATGACCCCTCCCCTGGTCAGCCTCCAACACCTCTATATCACTGCCTGGCTCCTGGTGCGTTTACATTTAGTGTAAGCACAAGAAAATAATTATCAGTCCCTTTTGACCCTGACCAGAGTCTCCAGAGGGCTCTGCTAATATTGCAGCCAAGGTGTGGAATTCTCCCTCCATGTCCCAAGTTAGCCAAAAAGGCAACCTAAGCATTAACGGGATGGTGGCCATTTGCTGAGGAGTATAGAGAGGCTGGATGGGGATTTTGTGAAATTGCGGTGCCTTGCAAATTAGATGAGCTTTCAATCTCTCTTTAAATGGGGCAGCTAAGAGGACCCACAGGCTACCAGGAGCAACAGCGAAGGGTAGGCAAATTCAAAAAAAGAGAAACTTTTAAACAAACAGACATGAAGATCATATTGGGAAACTAAGGGTAGTGCCCCAGAAAGAACATAAAAATCATTAAAGGGTCATCATCCATCTTGATATACATTTGCAAACAACACATAACTTCATCTCATGGCTTGTGAAATGCAAAACAGTTCTGTTTTGGGTTTTCTTTTGACCATCCTTAAAGTATAATTAGATCCAGCTGGAGGAAAGCTATAGCTACCAGCCTTAGACACCCCATCTGGCCCCATCCCTGATTGGTCCCCATTGGGGTGGGCCGAATGTACCCCACCCATGCACGAATTTGTGCACTGGGCTTCTAGTATTTCCACAAGACCAGGTGAAAAGAATATATTATACACATGTATACATTCATAATGATTTACAATTAAAATGTGAAAAATTTTAAGATTTCATTTATTCCTGGTTACAACCAAACATAAATTTTTACTCATCATTTCCAAAATAACTATTCTGCTCCCAAGCCAATTATATTTTGCCTTTCCCTATATTCTTCATCAAGCAATTTAATGCATTATACTTCTTATTAGATGAGAGAAAATTTGTAACTTAAAATTTAGATTTAAGAATAATTTAAACCAGCTTTGTTGTATACTTATGTATATATACCTCAGCGACATATATTTCATAGAGCAAAAATATAGGAAGACAGAAATTCTGATACATATAAATCTGTACAATCTTATATAATAAAGAGGTAGTATGCAAATTAACCCTCACATCCTCACTAGATGGCTGCATATGACCAGGCTGGCAGGGGGGTTAGTGAGGGATGACCAAACAACTGGACAGCAGGCTGCATGGGGCAACCAGGCCAGCAGAGAGCAGGGGAAGGCAGTTGGGGGCAACCAGGCCAGCAGGATGGGGACAGTGAGGGGCAACTAGGCTGGTGGGGGTGGGTAGTTGGGGGCAAACAGGCCAGCAGAGTGGGGCTTTTGGGGGTGACCAGGATGGCAGGGGTACAGTAACAAGAGACCAGGCCAGCAGGGGGATGGGGGAGTTAGGAGCTACCAGGCTGGCATGCAGAGATAGTGAGGAGCAATTAGGCTGGCAGGGGGTCATTTAGGAGTGACCAGGCAGGCAGGCAGGTGAGCGATTAGGAGCCAGCATCCAGGATTGTGAGAAGGATGTCTGACTGCTGGTTTAGGCCCAATCTCCAGGATCCCGAGGGGTCCTGAATTGGAGATGGTATAGGCTGCCCCCCCCTTCCCATGTATGAATTTCATGCCCTGGACCTCTCGTGGATAATTAAATTAGATAATAGAATGGGATGTTCTTGTAAAACATATGCAGTTAGTATAGCTACATAAGTATGTTATATATTGATGTCCTAAAAGAATCTACTTATATAAAAGCCATGGGTGGTGTTCATCACGTCCAGAAGAACTGCTGCGACCAAGTGAAAAGAAGTCAGTCCTGCAGGGGTTGTCTTGGCAATGGCTGCGCCCTCCCCCAAGCTGTTTCCTGTAAGGGCGGGGTTTGAGGCAGGAACCTGCCCTTGGAGCATGGGGG